GGCCGCTCACTCTATTTCTATGGCAAGGGCTCGTAGCTCCGCCGGTCTTGTGGGCCTCGCGGTTCGAGAAGAGGAAGTAGATGAGCATGCCGAGGATGGGGAAGAGGAAGACGATCAGACACCAGAGGAGTTTGTGGCTCGGTGGGCGGTTGGATTTGAGGACCTCGACTGTTTATTCGCCACGCGCCATGGTTAGCTATTGTACTTGTGTGTTCATGCTTGTGTCGTCATGTAATCCAATCCGAGAGCTCGTGGGGGGCATACGCAACAAGCAATGAAACCGAGGAAATAAGGAGGGAAGAGGGAACAGGGGAGAGCAGACGTACTAAACACCAAGACGTCAAGAACCAGAACGATCAGACCGACAATACCACCGCCGGTGCCGTAGCCGATCATGTCCTTGTTCATTGCGTGTAGGGTCCCGTCACCACCGTCCGTAATGGGCGCTGCGAAGGCTAGGGCAGCCAGGAAGAGCTGTAAGAGGATGTTTTGGATCATTTTGTAGGGTGTGACTGAGATGTAACTACTACGCGGGGTTCGATAGGGATTCCCGAGAAAGGTGGAATGAACAGGTGAACAGATAACAGACGATAATGAGATGTGCGGGTTCGAGGTCACGGTCGACGGTGAGATGTAGAGCGAATGCAGGTGAGGTCTGGGAGGAAAAATCGGAGGACTAGGCAACTGTATTTATCTCAGATCTAGCTCGAGGGAGGTATTACGTGCAACCTTTCTCAGCTGCTCTGTAACTACCAATACAGGAGGCTTCTCTCGATGCTGCTTCGTTATTGTGTCACTGCGGGGTCGCGGTCACTTCCTTGGTTTTGGCGCCCCCAGCACCACCCAACCAGCATCACCGGCCGCCTGTGCTACCTGCAGGGGCTGGGCCAATTGGGGAAAGTCAACACGCGATGCCCGCCACAAGCTTGTCTGCATTCTGTCGATTTCTTACGACGTCATAATATGTAAAGAGGGGTGACGATTGTGACGGCACCAGAACTGCGACAACGCGAGACGGCGAGACGGGCACCTCCGGACTCTTCAAGCCTCAATTCTCGAGCCTCAAGGCTCCTTCAAGCACATCCATCTAGTGACCCAATGATAACGGAAGCCTCCCATCTCAACCCAAAGCCACGACACTCTCCCTTCAAAGACCGCTGCTCAACATGGCCACCACGATCTGAGGCAATCGTGTGATCCCAGTGGAGTGGCGGCCGGCCAAAGTCACAAAGTGTCTATCTTGGATTGAGAATAAGGGGCACCATGGGGGTTTCCTCGTTCTCATCGTCTTACAGGGCGTATTTCTGGGAAATGATAGGGCACTCTTCAGGACTCCAAGAGATGGTCTCCTATAAAGTATTGCGGATTCCTCATGGCCCGTCTCACCGCGCACCCACCCCCAGTCTGATGCTGAGATCCTCATCCAAGGAAAGATCACTAGATATAGAAGTAGTGGTAAACGGGGGAGGTCCAGCCCCACTCCGCTGCCACATGCTCTCGTCTTCGTCGTCAATTTCATAGTTCGTCCTGGCGAAAAGGGCCGGGTCGGTAACATTGTTGTTCTTGTTGCTGCCCTCATCGTCGAAGGTGTTGCAATCGAAGGTGGTGCCGTTGTTGCTGTAAGCTATAAAGTACAAGGGATCGTCTCGAGGGAAAAGGGGCACTTTGGTCTCCCAGCCGTCCTCTTCCCGGATTGTCTTCTTTCCGTTATCCCTGGGGATTTCCAGGGCATCTCCTTTCGTATTGCGAATATGGCGCATGTTCTGATGATTCCGTCGTCGAGTGAGGTCGACAGGCTTTTTTGTTACTAATGCGCACCCGGCCCTGAATTGCACATGGCGTCTTCGTTTCCTGTTCAGGGCACCAGGACTCGTAAGAGGTGACCACTGGCTCTGGTCTCCATATCCCCCGTGTCTCTCCTGAGGATATTCCTGTTCCACCCCATTGACGTAGGCGCCCTGCAGCCGTCCACTTTCTTCGGGATAAATGCTGATTGTATTATGTGGAGGCTCCCGGTCCACCAAGGCCCAATCTTCCAAATCACACTGGCGACGGCTGCAAGAGAAACACATTATCGCTGAATTGTGAACAAAGGGAAGGCCACCATCGATAGCAATCACATAACGTCGGTATTGAGCAACTCGATTCGGGTAATCTCGAATGAACTCTGTACAATATCAAGGCAGAGGGTTGAAGACTCCACCAAATCCGAAGCAGGAACGCCGCACAGTCGACAAAGACAAGTAATAGGAAGGTTGTATCACCTTTTCATCTGAGAACGCATCCAAAGAACCGCGGAATGCACAGAGGTAGAAGTACAGATGTGAAGAGGTCAATATGTTGCTGGTGATTGAGCAAGTGATTGAAAAGCCATCAAGCTAGGTCAAGGCGTGACAAAATCCGGAATGGCATGGCAAATCAATGTTCTCCTCCTTCTGGTTCCCGTGAGGCTGGCAAAGTCAGATACGCTTGCTATGCTCGTTCAGGTTGTCTTGTCATTGTTCCAGAGGACGCTGATAGTTAGAGCGACCCCATTTTGAGCGAGATCAACAGACAAGAAGAGCGGTGAGAAGAACCAGCAACCCAACTTGATCCCAGCTTTGAATGGGCTGAGTAAATTCCTCGAGGGTGATTCTCGGGACGTCGTGCTCAAGTGGAGCAGACAACCAGCAGTGTGGCAGGCTTCGGACAATAGTCAAGAAAGATTCCTCTGGAACTGACAGATTCGCGTTTCAAGGTGTGGTGCCTGTTGGTTCAACCAGTAAAGATTGACGGCCACAGTTCACCAAGGCGATCATCCCTTCCAAGGGACCATCTGGTGGGGTATAGTGTCAGTAATTTTGTCATGAAAAGATAACAGGATCTCTGATGGTGTATGCAGCCGTTTCGACCCCATGATATTTATGTTTCGTCTGTATGAATGAAGCGGGAAGTAAACAGCTGCGCCAGAGCGCTGTGGCCCCCTCTGGCTGTTAAAAATGACGACTTTGCTTTTCCCGAGTGGCTGCAATGCTGAGAATCCCACGACTAGCGATCCTCCCTCTGCTGTCACTCGTCGACCGTTGATCGAAGATTCAAACAGCGTAGTACTTCTCATACAACGGATCTTTCTCGCCTTCTGCAGTTTCGCGCCAGTCATACTCCAAAGCCTTGGCCAGGCCTCTCGCCACGTCTTGACCACCATAGTATTGCGCGACAAATGCTAATGTTAGATCCATCCCTGCACTTATCCCGGCCGAAGTCCAGATCTCGATTGGGGCGTTGTTCTTGCCTTGCACTTCAGACGGCAGGCTCCGGACCCATCGAGCAAAGTTCACCCACGAAACATTTGGATTTCGGGCTGTTACCTCTGCCCAACGAGACATGTTGGTAGTTGCACGCCGTGCATTGAGCAGTCCAGTCTGTGCAAGTGCATCAGATCCGGTACAGACTGTCAATATGGCGGTGGTTATGTGAGGAACCACCTTTGGCACAAAATCGAGCAGGCTCTGGACGTTAGGTGACTTGCTGCCGTCTGGATGGACGCGGCTCAGCCGTGTACCAACCCCTCCAGGAATGAAAAGAACGTCGACGTGGGAACCTTGTTTGCCAGAGCTGAGGGCTTCCAGAAAATCTGCGTATGTGGTGTCTGGTTGTAGATACTCGTTGAACGTGAGGTTGACTCTGCCGTTTGTCTTCGGAAAAGCGTTTGGAAGGTCGAATGTCCAGTTGGCTGATTTGGGGGGAATAGGCTTAACCGGTACCGGGTCGAGCGTCTCAGCGATAAAAGTTAACGATAGAGGATGCTTTTCGGAATCAAGTTGAGTGGAAAGTAAATTCAAGATATCCAGCGGACCAGCGAGATCGAGGAGTTGGAATCCAGGAAAAATTGGCAACAGGTAATGAATGGGAGGAGAAGCCATGGTAATTGAATGTTTGGTAGCAGAACTGACCAGGGTGAGGGAATACGGTCCTGAAATTAGTACAATCAATAAATTCAGCGAAACTTACGTCGACTTTCCTAGCTATGGCTCCGGCTTATATCGATTTATATAGAAATGTACAATCCAGCAAATATGCGGAGGAGGGGTGAAATATGGGGTCTCTCGATTGGAACAAATTACCGCTTCGGTCAAGGAATTCCGTATCTCCCACGGTACAGGACGTTAGAGAGGAGGAATAATACACCGTCTGGTACGAATCTCCAGTCGGTTATGTAAGCGAGGGTAACGAAGGATGACGAGCGAAGACGCAAAGTTGCCAAGAAACCACGTGGGCTGAACGTCCTTTGGATGGCAGATGATCTGGTGGAGGGCCTGAAGTGTATATTGGTTCCATATATTGGGTACGATGGTAAATAGGCGGTCGGAATTTGCCTAGCCTCAACCGTATCCACTAGGTAAGTTCAAGTCATTGTGGGTGGCGTCATGCCAAACAAAATCAATAATTGGCTTCAGAATGGTTAGAAATGAACACAGACCCCCATCAAACTGTCCTCCTCCCTCAAGATGGAAACCTGAGGGGGATGTGACTTGTTTATACGGAGAGGCCGGACAATCGGATATAGAGTTGTTCCGGAAGAAGCCGCGCGCCGCGAGTCCCAGGTCACGAGCCAGATATGACACACTGGGACTAGCGGATTGGGCCTCTACAACCCACTGGCTTCGATCGAGATCCAGCCAATAACAGCCCTGGGCTTAGTCGTCTTCTGACTCACTGCCACCGCTAACACCGTCTGGCTCCGTCGCCGCCGTGCCAAGGAAGAAACTTCTGCCTCTGTCCGCCACACACGTATGGTTCTGCGTTTATTCTCTCTTCCTTTTTCCTCCTCTTTCCACTGCCACACCTACTGCCCACCTGACTGCTGGTTCTTCCTTTCTTGTCACTTCCAATGCGAACCATTGTCTTCCTTCTCTGCCTGGAACCTTGTCTTGGGTTCGGGCGCGGCTCCTGATGCATTTTTATGCGCTGCCCCCTCTTATCCGAAACTTATGACTGCCTGACAGCCGCTTCTGCTTTTGACTAAGAAGTAAACCACCGCCTGATCCCGCCATTCCGCCACCACTCGCAGGGCCATGCTCACCAAATCACAAGATCTCGGTGTTGAACCAAACACTTGATTGTTCAAATCTGTTTGCCTGACCTTCACTGCTTTTCGCCTCCCGTAGTACCACCTGAGAATGACGCATATTCTGATTCATCCCCCAATGGCCCAGTCCACGGCTTACTCTACAGTACCATGTTTTCTGCCTGCCGCGCCGCCTCCGCCTCCGCCTTCACTCACTGCCGCACCTACTATTCATCCCATTCTACTGTCACCCATTGTTCTTTCCCAATTGTTCTTTCCCATTGAACGTCTCCATTGATCTATTCAATAGTCACAAACAACTATTCTACTCACAATACTGATTCTCTGTCATTGATCGCTCCATTGAGTTGGTCGCTGCCTACAGGGATATCTGTTTGACTACAAGTATCTTTACTTTCGATGAGTTGGTCGCTGCCTACAGGGATATCTGTTTGACTACAAGTATCTTTACTTTCGCCATTTATCAGCACAATATTTTCCCGCCTTGAGAACTACCAACCGACCCTCAAGACATCCTACCCTTCTGCCAGTTGACTCATTCAGAGCGCAAGCAATCGACCCATTGGAACCGCAAACTCAAAATACTCCCAATCGTGGAACCGCTGCTCTCTACAACGACGAGGGACCCCACCACGAGGACCTTCAATCTCGCGACGGCGCAGCATCATATATCGATCCCTCCTCCTCCCCTCAGTCCTCTTGTTTCCCGACCACAATCTGTTGATCAGCAAGAGGTGGACCGGACATCGCATATGCGCGGGGATATAGAGCCCGGTATTCTTCTCCTCGACTCGCTTCCATCAGAGCAGACAAAGATGGCTTCTGAGTCTCTTCTATCCTCAAGTGAGGCACCTAGCCTACCTTCTACACTCAAGATCAATATGACCGCGCTCAACCAGAACCCTTTGATCACTCCTCCCGATCCACCAGAACACGAGTTCAGCGCCAATGTTTCCGGCGAAAACAAGGACGACGACCCGGTGTTGGTGGTTGATCAGTCAGAGGTCCTCCCACCAACTCCCACCTTGTCACGAAGCTCCTCCCAATCCTCGTCGTTCCCCGTGCAGGGTCTCTTTGATTCAGAACCTGTTTCGATCGCGCCGTCGACCACTGACCCTAGCGCATACTCAGACTCTGATTGTCCTGACGTGATAAACTTGATGAGTCGCGACTACGATCTCATTCTTCGGGCGGCTGCAAAGGGCCCCATCAAGTTCCGTGCTTCTGAGCTCTACTCGCTGGATGACCGGATGTTGCCGAGGCAGCGTCGCTTGGTTCGTGGAGATGAGCTCGCCAGAAGAGTGGAGCGCTTCCTCAAATACCGTATTGACTGGTTTGAGCCCGGTCTTGGAGTCAATACTGTTTGTGATGCCACGTCGTGCTCGCCAGGGCCGTGGCATGGCATCAAGCGACTGGCGTTCGCGGGCCTCCTGACACAATACCCGTTTGACGATATGGACTCAGTTCTGATGGACATCAGAAACCATCTTTTCAACGGCAAACCTTCTATTCTAGAGTGGATTCCGGAGGAATCATCTCTTCCACGTGCCTCCAGGGCTCCTTCTATGTCAAGCAAACCTGTCTCAAAACCAAAGGCCGTCAAGCCCGTCAAGCCTGTCAAGAACAACCAGCAACCACCTAAGCGCCCTGCTGCAGTTGCTCCCTCGCAGAAAAAATTGGCTGATCTCGCAGAAGCCGCCGCTCTATTGGCGGACGAGCCGCTCAGCAGGACCAGAGGAGTGAAACGCAGATACACTGAGGAAGATCAAGAGCCACGCAGTGACAGCACTCGGACTGTGACGGATAAGACCGTGACAGATGTGACCTCAGAGGAGCCCGACACCACCAAGACGGTCAAGAAGCACAAAGTTGTCTCGGACAGCAAACCCAAAACCCAGCGAAGCGCGGACAGCAAGTCGAAGAACACCAGAAACCGTAATTCAGACAAACCGAGGGGTCCAAGCGAATCACTCTGCCGGAACGTCAAAGACACTCTCAACAGAC